ACAATAACCACAAGGCCAACAATTTGTCTTGCTGACAATGATGATGAAGCGACAGATTCTCAAGCGTCTGACTATCATCAGAGGAAACAAATTGGTCAGACAACCCATAGCCATCAACAACAAGCAAGATATGATGTTTCTATAAAAGAAAATTCCTCTCCAAAAGTTTCAAAGTATCAAGCCTGGGTAAATATTGAACTGTCATTGACGAAGATCCCGAACCGCCGGAGACATTGGAAAGATCACCACTCACCGGAGGGACACCAACTAGAGGATCAACCACCATGAGAATCACAATTGCAAGAAAACAAATAGAGATTAAGCGGAAACGAGAGAAGGTCCAAGAAGGCTAGGGAAAGATACCATGTCACAACAGTGAAAGAGAGACGACACTCTCAGTATTTTATTGATAAAACCTGAAAAACCTCAACAGAGGTCCAGGGATTTTATACAAGAGGAATAAGGACCGAAGTCTAAAAGAGAAGCTAACAAGCTCCTAACCATCTCAAGTAAGCTAACAAACACTAGTACAACACAACAGACCGTATTTGCACTCAGTAGAGAGCTATCCTCTCACAATCCAAAATTCTTAAATCTAACATGTCCCAAATCAAACACTACATGTCACCTCTCATGCTGTTAGACTCTCACCGCTCGATCGCCTTCTTACTGTTATACATTACCATTTAAAATCGCACCTAAACCTTGCCACACATAACCATTTTTTTCATTCAAACATTGCCTATCTGTCATTGTCAGTTAGGTTACAAGTCGATCGAACATCCAATCTTCGCTCGTTGCTTAATCTTTAAACTTTAAATTTAGAGATGAAGTGTTTTCATTTAATTTTTATAAACTTGATATTATGTGTCAAGCAACTATTAATTGGCATTTTTTAACGATAGTTGAGAAAATAACTTTAAAATGCTAATAAAACGAAACTTTAAACAACTTAAATGATAACATAATAAATCCATCAAGTAGTTTTAATGGCAAAAGAAAATGTTAAATATTGTTAATTAATTAAGAAAATTTTAAATAGATATTATCCTTATAATCACACTAAACTATTAAAAATAGAATAAACGTTAAATATTTACTTCGATAATTTTTTTAAATATCTAAAATAAATAATAAATATACTTTAGGTAAAGTACACAAATGCCCCTTTGACTATAGGGTATTACTTTATTAAGCCCATTGACTATTAAAAGTTATAAAATGGTCATTAGACTATAGAATGTTGTTTTGTTAAGTCACTCGACTATTAAAAGTTACAAACTGATCACTTGACTATTCATTATGTTCCAAACTCGGGTTTCTCCGTTGAAAAATTGATGATTGTCTAAGTTAGACATTAACATGATGACTGTAATATGATAGTCATTCGAGATTTTGAGATTAGATTTTATCATATCAAAGTTAGTAGATTAACATTTAACTCATAATACTTTCAATTTTTTAATAGAAAATGACGAGTTTGGAACATAATTAATAATAGTGTGACTATTTTTTAACTTTCAATAGTCAATGGACTCAACAGAGTAACATTTTATAATCAGAGGTTTATTTTACAAGTTAAATGACTTAATAAAATAATATATTATGACAGGGGACCATTTATGTACTTTACCCATATAATGTAAACATTTTATGCACTTTACCCCATATAATGTAAACATTTACTATTTTTTAAGGGAAAACTATAATAGTAACCACCCAACTATAGCTCATTTTCATTTTGACCACTTTTTTGAATTTTTATCAATCAAACCACTCAACTATTTAAATGAATTCAATCAGGCCACTAGCCATTATCAGTTAACAGAATTGCTAACGTAATAGTTAATAAAATTGATATAATTTATATTTAGTCCTTATTACTTATACAATCTATCAAATTGGTCATAATTTTAAATTAATTCAAAATATTTAATTCTTCAATTATATTTAATTTAAATATTTTTCTCCAATCAGGTGGTGACATGTGGCACCATATGATGAAAGGAAAATAAATTGATTCAAAGCGCCTTTGCAAAGAATCGAACTTAGTACTATATAGAGAAGAAGAGCAACCTCAACCACTACGCCAACACTAGAATTGGGTCAAAGTGGGGCGTAGTCGGGTTTAAGGTAAAAAATTATTACTCGACCGACCCGGTATGAAATCATTAGTTTACCCTTATATATATATATTCGAATCTGGTAAAAATATATTATTTTGTTTTCATTTTTTATGGCCTCCAAAATCATATAAAATTATATATTGAATGTTGTGAATATTGAGCAAAAAACTAGTTCTGGTCCAGTGGTTGAGGTCGCTCTTATTCTGCATGTGGTTTCATTTTCGATTTCTTACAAAGGTGCTTTGATTCAATTTATTTTTCTTTCACTATCTTATTGAAAAAAGTATTTAAATTAAATATACATTAAATTAATAAAAACCCTCCAATAATATCATGATGTGTGTCATCATATTTTTAGAGAATTAAATATATTAAATTAATTTAAAATTATGACCATTTTAAAAGATTGTGTAAGTAAATAAGGACTAAATATAAATTATATCAATTTCATCAACAATTCTGTTAACTGTTAACCTTAGGGTGCGTTTGGTTCACGGAATGTAAGATTACCAGTGGGAATAAAAGATTACCAGGGAATAAGATTACTGAGAATGTTACATTACTGTGTTTGGTTGGTTTGGCAGGCATGTAAGATTACAGTGTTTGGTTGAAAGAATAAAAGATTACTGGAATATATATTTTACCAAATTATCCTTGTTCTATATTTTTTAACAAGTGAAATTCTAAATATTTAAATAAAAAATTATTTATATAAAAATTCTATCTGTTGATAATATATTACTTGAGTATTTAAATATATCATGCATTATTTTAATTTTAATTAATATTAAATTTTACATAATTTATGCAAAAATTTATTAAAATTTTACATCAACATTTAACTAAATGTTTACATTGTGAAAACTAGCTTCGGTCCATACTTGACGCATTCACTGAGAGATTTCTTGTATTTTTCAATCTACAAGGTTTACATTCTTCTATATACAATAATTTATCATAGATATTCATAATAATAAAAAGATGTAAATTATTTTTGTTATTTAAGATATAATATTTATTATATCTTATATATACAATAATTTATTTATTTATTTATTTATTATATTTATACTTAATTCTGCATACTTTATCATTATTATTTATCTCATGAATTTATATTACAAAAATATAATTCAAATAAGTAAGAAAATATAACACTAAAAATCATATTATCTATAATTTTATATTTCACCGTCATTCATAATTATATTTGCTAATATTTTAATACAATTATTAATACTCGGTCGTAATATGATTTGCATCGAAACTGAAGGGCCCTCCTGGTCCGAAGGATGAGAGACTAATGGTGTTTGCCTTTGCAGCCAATGGATTGAACTTGGGTGGGGTTGTTTCAGGCTCTGCCTTCTTAGCATGCAAGGAAGATTGTTCCGACAGCGGAACCACTCCATCGCGTCCATGGAAAAGCCTGAATGCCGTCAAAATTTGGCCCGTCTTCGAAAATCGGACCATTTGATCCTCGTACCTGAGGTGTAGAAGTTAATTTGAACTTGAACCAAGAACATGATGCAAGAAACATAAAGCTCATAACATAATGATTCGTAATCTTACCGGCAATGGAAAAGACATGGCCGACGAGAAAGAGAAGTTTGTAGGCTCATTAATGTTTCTCAAAAATGGACTCCTGAGGATTTCCATTTGAGAAGTTGCGGAGTCCTCGTGTAAGTTTATGAATGGAAAATTCATTTTAAAGTTACCTGGACAAAGACATAAGAACTAGTAATCCAAATCTAAGAATAGATAAAGCCCAGAATGATTACATCTCTTAGCATCAAAAGAATCGTACATATATGAACAAATTAAGACCGAATAAAACCACTGACAAAACAAATCGATGCTAATTTTACTGCAAAATAAAATCAAACATATTTGAACAATTACAGCAGTCCGATCTAGAGAAAAAAAGGTAGAGTTTAAGCTTTCAAACAATAAAATGTCAAAAGCACAAACAAATTCAGAACCATAACTCTACCAAACACAAGGAATTCACTAAATCATCCGTGAATGAATGTAAAAGCATTGCAAATTACTCTTAACAAACTGGTATGAGGGATCTTAAGCTAAAGTCAAAACAATCGATAATGGATGATAAAATTGAAGCCTATAAATAGCTGATTCTCCAATTATTCTTCCAAAGACTTGAAATCTAATAACTAGAACAATTACCACAGAGATCAAAGAACAGAAGCCCGTACACAACTGAAATCCATTATGTTGATCAACAAATTTCAGCAAAAACAACGAATTCCTTTCAAAATAATACTCGCATGGAATTATGAAAATTCTATCACAAATCCAGGAAAATAAGTGAAAATTTTACCTTATGGATGAAATTTCAATAAATTTCAACAAAAACAACAAATTCCCTTTCAAAATAATACTCGCATAGAACTATTAAAATTCTATCACAAATCCAGGAAAAGAAGTGAAAATTCTATCACAAATCCAGGATGAAGGAGAACAAAAATAAAGAGGAAAATAAGGGGGAAAATGAAAAGAATGGAGACAAAGAAAATTCTATCACAAATCTATTTTTCTTTTAATATCCTTTTTACTCAATTAACCAATAGACTCATGCAACATTATTTTCTGCATGTCTACTCAGAACTCTGTGGGAGGAGATTACTAAACTAAAACTAACAAAGTTAAAAATGCAATTTACAGTTTTTAACAAATAATAAGAGGATTAGATTAATTTGAACCCATCTCTATAATAATAAGAGGATTGGATTGAACCCATATCTATACTAAACAGACCAAATCGATTAACCATATAAACAAATAAAATTTACCATCAACTCTATTTGCTAGAACACTTGAATGCCATCACATCATAGTTGTGTTTCTCTACAAGTTTTACAGTATACTACAACATTGATTGTTACTCTTAGCTCGACTGTAGAACATCTGTTTCAATAACCAAAAGAGGATTGATATTAGCAACAACATGTGGTTGTTCCAAAGGAACAATAAGGTTCGACTCCCAGCCCGTGTACTGACTCTGGACAAGGATGGACCGAGCGGTTGGGTGTTGCCTCCTTAAAATTTTAAAATTACCATATATTTTAGATTTTTTTCTATGTTTTTTTATTAAAAATCTATTTTCGTCCTCCTAGAATTCTATAAATTTGTTCATTCTTAAAATTTTAGATGTTCGCCCACTGATTCCGGATATATTTCGATTATTTAGTCCACAGTTGCGCTTTGTAACTATTAATTCTAATTATAGTCTATTTCGATATAATTGTAACTCCAAATGAAAAATAATATGCAAACTGGATAATGCAATATAGGATTATATTGTGTTGCAATGTACCTGAGATGCCGCACTGTGATCTGAACTCTTTTCAACTAAACTGTCCAGCTTCTCACCTCGTGCAAGTATGCTATCAATTATTTTATGCTGCATCAAAGACACAATCATTTCAATGATTGAGAGAACTTCTAATCAATCAAATCCAAGCTAACACAAGTATACCGATATTTTTCTATTTATGAACAAATCTTTCTTTTGAAATGATATAATTCATCACATCATTACAAAGAAAAAAAGATTCACATATGGAATAGTGAACAAATAGAACATTGGAGCTGAGGATGACATCGTAGTACGATAACTCAAAGCTAAAAGGAAACAACACAAACTCGTCACTTTTCCCACAAAAATAGAAAATTGCTTACAAGGATGATTTTAGTCTCATCCAACTCCCTCTGAATTTTCAATAATTTATCAGCCTCTGCAGGGTTCTGAAAACGGTAAAAGGGTTATGTAAGATTTTTCAAATATAACACCCCAATAAAGCTCTAATATTATACTTAGAAAAGAAAATGTGAGATTAATTTGAAATGTGTAAGTCCCCATATTTAAACACAGCAGGAATGAATGAAAGATAAAACAAATACCTGAAACTTGGTCAAAGCCTCATCCAAATAGGGCCAAATTTGAGTGCTATCAACTTCTGCAGTTCTCCATGATTCCCCAAAATTTCTCTGATATTCATCCACCACCTGCCACACATTATTGTTTGAAATTTTCCAAAGATCCCATAGAAGAACATCCAATCTCACAAACATATTTCAGAACACCATATGTCAAACGTGAGGAATGTGACCCACAGACTCTAAACATCATCTTAAACTCTTAATGTATTATACGCACAGACACAGACACATCCACCTCCACCCATCGTCCCATCAATCTAGTTATTGCTATAAGATGCAAAGAGAGGGATTGAGCCGGAAAATGAGACTTAGCTATACCTAAGCTAGCAAGTAAGCAGAGAAACAAGAATGAGCTGAGGTCCGAGACAGGAAATGAAGAAAAACTAAAAGCTAGGAACATGGAAGCTGAACAGGGAGTTACAAGCTGAGAGTTGGTGGGTCAAGTACCAAAAAAAGGGATGTGTAGGAGGAATAAATCAGTGGTTACTGAATAAGGTGAGATTAAGCCAATATTAGGACAACTATCAATAATTGTTGCTCCTATATATACATTATAGTTCATTCCACAATAACTGAATCTATAAAGATCTATTCATGTAAACACGGCCGCAATCATCAATGAATATATCATTTCTCTAATTCCTCTCTTCTTCTCTATTTTCCCTTTTCATTCATTTCCTGCTATAATCAGTCTCAAACTATGAGAACCTGATATTATAACCATAGAGAACGCCAGTGCAGAACACCAATATTGCAGTCAATAAGATTTGATGATACTGAATTATAAGGTAAATCATGACACAGAGAAAATAAGAGTTACACTCTGTTATATTACCTGGTTGAGAAGCGAAAAAGCACTTCGAACAGGATAATGATTATCCATAAATCCAATTGCACAAAGTCCATTTATGTTGTAAGAATGTACCATGCACTCTACATTAAAATCACCAAACATAAATAAATAAATCATTATTATTCTCAAACCTAAAACAGAATCATGATATTGATTTTACTGATAAAATCGAAATTTCAGAAATATTTTCTTTAAAAAAACGGCAATGTAATACACGATAAAACAAAAGAAGATGCAGAAACGATGTTATTGATCTAATTGCCAGAGATATTAATAATCAAGGAAACAAATATTATCATGTAATGAGAAAAAAATTAAGAAAGGTTCACAGAGGAGAGACCTTCGTGCTGGACGGACTGGCGCTGACCGAGAGAGGTTCGTTTGCCGATGGTTCGAGAGACGAAGATGATGAACTCCCTGACGCTTGGCCTTTGGAAGAAACCGGAATGGCTCACGTCGGATGCATTGGCCAGTATTATGGGATCGGATCCTTCCGGCTGGCACTTTAACACCAATAACGCAGTTATTTTCATCTTGCCACTTCTCTTTCAATTTTCCCTAACAAAAAAAAAAGTGACAAAAACAATTTAGTATCTTTCGCTCTGCAAAAAGATAAATATAGAAAATACAATCTGAACGCCAGAAGGGAGATGTGAGACTAATACACCAGAAGCAAATCTAAATGCCAAATGGAAGAAGAAACAAATTTTCTTTCAGCCAAAACCAAGCGAAGAGAATGGTGTTTTAGACAAGAGGATCGGGAATGAGCAAATACCTAAGAAAGATGGGGGAATGATATTCTCGGGAAAACAGGAAAAAAATATCACTGTTGGTATTCATTTTTACATGCACTTGAGAATATAACTCCATCCAAACGTGGGTATCGTTACCCGGAAAAAAATTCCTCCCAAGAATGAAAGATGACGTGAATCAAACGGGACTTTAATGTGTTAATTGAAAATATTTAAATAATTAAATGATCTAATTGATAAAAAATTTAAAAATAGCAGTCGACATGAAAATAAACTATTATTGGGCGGTCATTAGCAGTATAGTTTACCTTTTTTTTTTAATTGAATCATTTATAATAGATAAATAACTTCCCTTCCCCTTATCTATCCAGTTCCGAGTTGGTCGTTATCGTTTCGAGGTCGGAGGCTGTAAGAAAGTAAGTTCAACACACACCGTACAATAATGATCTGACAGTTCTGATACACAATGAAGCTGCCTGCCCACTTGTAACATCAACATTTTATTAAAATCTCGATCAAGATGAATTCCATTTAAAAGAAGCTAGACAAAAATTATACCTACAATTAAATTTGAGCAAAATATTTGATTGGTGTTGTTTTCTGATTAATTTTATTTTTAATATATTTTATATTTTTTTGACTAAATTTATAATTTATATTTAAGATTTAAGATTGTTGTTCTGAATATTATTGTAATCTTTAAGGTCTTTTCTTATTGACAGTGTAATATGTTTTATCAGTATATTCGACATTGATTAATATAATTTTATCATATATGTGCCAACAAAATATAATTTTATGATACATTATTTTTATATTTGGACATTAAATGTAAAGTATATTATTATAAAAAATTAAATGGAATATTTTAGTTTCGTTTAAAAAATAATATTTTTATGTATAAGTATTCTGGATAAACTAAACCTGAACATGAATGTATGGTGTTAATATTTTACATAAAATTTAATTTAAACCTGAGTGATGTGCACTCCCATGAGTACAACCTCTTGAAGGCTAGAGCATTTGGTTGCAATAAACAAGAAGCCGTCCTCGCTGATCGTCCGACTTCCGAACCTGCTCCACTCATCGATGTGGAGCTTCCAGACTTTGCAGGAGTTAAGATTGCAGACAATCCGTGATGCGTGCATCGGACGCCTTGCTGACGTATAGTACCTGAAGGCGATGACATGAGCTGGAGATTGCAACAGAGCCTGGATCTCCCATTTGCACATTATCCATTTGTATCTCCACAATGCTAGTACTAGTAGACTCAAGACTGGGCAGATCCGAATCCCAGTTTCCTGAACTCCTACACACAATCAGGGTCTTGAGGGTCCGAGCGGACGAAAACAGGAGTGGAATGAAAAGGCTAGCACTATGAAGATCCTTGATGCACAGCCTCTCGAGATTAGTTAGCATAACCATAGCAATCGTTGGTGTTCGATTTGGTGTCAACACTATGCTTTCGGCGTTGAGCTTGCGGAGGCGCTTTAGTGTGAGGTCTGTAAGAGAAGGGCAGTTTAGAAGAAGAGACACGATGCCTTTGCTTCCAATCCCTCACGAAGTAGAGTTTACTGAGCAGAGGTGGATGGTGCAAGGAGAATGCAAGGAGACCGTTGTCGGTAACGTCGAACGCAGTCCTTCAGCTTAAGCTTCTTTAAAGAAGGCAGCAAGGTCGGGGCGAGCAGCCAAGACGAGACGTTGCTAGACTTGGAATCCACATGGTTCCAATTCTTGCACACGGGTGAGAAGTTGTTCCCGTAATGACATCCGAGCCTACCGAATATCAACGCCCAGCACTCATCGGAAAATGCCAGGGACAGGTCTCCCCTATGACGGAGAGAAGGAAGAAGAGCCTTGTCCCATTAATAGGCCTTAGTCGAAGTTTATTCTTTACAAATATTTGCACCAGATTAATCATAAGAAGTGAATTTGGTCGGCCCATTCATTAAAGATACAAAAGAACAACAAGGGTTTCGAGAAGGTCGGCTAGTTCAACGGCGGCAGCGATACATGGTTGTGTTGGAAACATGTTTCAGGGAAAGGACAAAGGGAAAGAGACGAGTGATAAGCATTGCAGATGAGCACTTAATCTAGTAAAATGATTAATGGATAAAACATTGCTTTTGTTCTGAATCATGTTATCGGGTTCCATGGCTTGTGAGTTGTGTCCGTTATCTTGTGGCATGATGATTGAACTACAACAGCGTTTTTTTTGTTCTCTTGTTTCTTTTTTATAAGCATAAAACGTGTAAATTTTAAAGGAAGCATTTTGTCGGCAATCTTTAGGCGGGAAATCAGCAACAGTCTCTCTCTCTCCCTTTTTTATTTAGATAAGTAAAGGGCTGTTTGTTTATCTCTTAATAGAATCATTCAGCGTTAAATGTTTAACCGTTCAGTATTTAGTACGTTTGTTTCGCACCTCTGAATGATTCAGTGCTGAATGATTCAACGCTGATTGATTCAGCAAAACAATGCTGAATGATTCAACACAGAAGTACATTCTGAATGATTCAACACAGAAGTACATTCTGAATGATTCAGAGCCAGTAAACAAACAACATGTCACATTCAGAGTTAATTCATCCAGAGCCTCTGAATCATTCAACATTTGAATCAATCAACACTTAATCATTCTGAAATAAACAAACAAACAACCCCTAAGTTTCGTTCTAAATCCAAAGATGCAGCAATTGCTGCAACAAACAACAAATCAAAAAATATAACCCCCCAGCTATACATTAGCAACCAATAAACAAATACAACAACAACAACAACAAAATCATGTAATCTAGTGCAAACAATCATTTAGCATTCTGACAAACAACATCAGGCCCACGAGCACTTCCTATGAAATGCCTACAATTCTACTCCTCCCAAATAAAATACAACTGTTGAACTATATTTTGATATAATAATTTAAGGTTAGATGTTTTTGGACTTGAATTGAATTTATTTTAAGTTTTCTAAGTTTTCAAAAATAATTCAAAGTCCATTTAACTTGGACTTGAGCACAAAATATTTTTCCCGAAAAATAGTACTTATACTGTTATTATAGTATCGATACCTCATGAACAGTTCCGATACCAAAGGTAAGGGAAGTATCGATACTCACTAGGTAGTATCGATACTACCAGCATTTCTCAAATTTCAGAATGCAAAAATGGTACCGATACCCAATGGGGAACTGATATTACTTTACATATTAGTATCGATACCATAGGCTTAGTATCGATACAGTCAGGCCCACGGTTAATTTTATTTAAAAATAACAAAGGTAGTATCGATAGTCCCTATAGGAGTATTAACACCCTCTGTACTGAGCAATTTTATTTTACAGAGAAAAACATCCCCAACGGCTAGAAACGACCACAACTTCATTCCAACATATAAATGCAAGTTCAAGACACTTGAAAAAGGGTTAGAGCATATATCCAAGCAATCAAACATAAGAGAAGAGTTTTTCAATCTTATTTTTATCTCTCTTGTAAATATTTGTGTTTTTAGTGAGTTAAATTTTAAATAATCTACCTTTGAGAGGTTTTATTGTTTACTTCTTTTACCTTTTGAAAAAGGGGATTGGTTCTATCTTAGCAAAGTGAAAAGATAGGGAGTTTAAAGGTTATCAATTGACCCTTGAAAAAGAAATAACAAATTAGTGAATTTGTTGGAAAATCCTAAGTGAGGAGCTTAGATAGTGGAAGTAGACTTGGTTGATAAGTCGAATCACTATAAATCGCTATGCAAAAGTTTCTATCTTTTACTCTCCTTACTACTTAAATAATTTATTGACATTTCATCATCTTGCAACTTTTTCGGTTGATTGATTCGAGCGAGCTTCTGCAAATCCTAACAAATACAAATACCCTGTCCAAGGTATTTTCAAGATGCATACAACCAAGGATCTACCTTTTAAACAACCAATCACCCAATCCATAAGACTCTCCCAGCTATGCAATTTATAAGGCATACCACAAAGCCTCATAATCTCATTCCACACCCTGCAAGCATATAAACATTCACAAAAAATATGATCCCTAGACTCAATTTCATCTCCACACAACCCATAAAGACCATCCGAAGGAATACTTATTCGAGAAAGTCTATCATTGGTAGGAAGTCTATCCAAAATAATCATATAAGACACAATTGACAGTTTAGACATATGCATTGGAAACCAAATGACCTTATGCCATCAAACCTTTTCTTTTTTATCCCTAATTTCTCCTATAGCCACTTACTATTCACCTTCCTCTAATCAACAACCCCAACAAAAAGAGCAGCAGCTTCCTCTCATAAGTTAAAACCTTCTTCAATATCCAACTATGGTGAGCCTTATCCTCAACATTCACACCCTTCAAGCCATACTCCCTAATCCAGGCTACCCATAATGAGTCTTCCCCAGCAAGGACATTTTTAATAAGCATTAAACAACAAGCCCGCTCCACCCGAAAAGATCCTTAACCCCTAAACCACCTTCAGATTTCAGACAGTAAATCTGATTCTAATTAACTCTAGCACCCTTAGCAAAGGTATCATCCTTTTTCCAAAAGAATCACATACACAATTACTCAATTCTCCGAATAACACTTTTAGGAAAAAGCAGTTGTCTGCACTAAAAATTGGCAATACTCTGCAATACCGCCTTAACTAACTGTAACCTACCCCAAAACTAAGCTTTTTATGAGACCATCCACCAAGATTACCCGTAATTTTCTCCAATGAAGGAAAACAATATTTCTTAGTTACCAAAGGCACCCCAAGTATATCACATGCATCAT